GCACGATGCAAAGAGTGAAACAACGAGAAATCGACAACAACACATTCGTATCATTGTCATCATAGGCTGGGAAGCAGCGCAGCGGAAGATTTAGTAGCAAAAGGACATGTGGATGACAACATGAAAGGGAGTAACTTCAGAAAGATTGCCCTTCCGCTCACACACATGGGGAGAGATCCATAGACATGCGAGAGAGAAGGGGGAGGGACATAGTAACCAAGTCCAACGCAAGTCTGATCTCTGAATGTCGTACACAGTTCAATCCCAATGTAGAGTGTAAGTCCAATCTGAATGTCGTGTCCAATAAGGCAGAAGGCCGTGTCCAAACAATGTCGGCAGTTACCTCTATCTCCACTCTGATAAAGAAGAAGAAGAAGAAGAAGAAGAAGAAGAAGAAGAAGAAAGCTAGGCGCTTTCTGCACTTACCTGGCGATGGCTGAACTTGCAGGTACCGCGGAGCCAGCTATGGCGCTGGTGCAGGTAAGTCCTCTTCTCTCTCTCTCTCTCTCTCTCTCTCTCTCTCTCTCTCTCTCTCTCTCCACTACCCTCCTCGGCGCTGGACTCCTCCAGCGCTGTGCCTCATGGCCGATGAGCAGCGCAGCTGCAGTCTCGAAATAGCGCAGCAGGGAGTCTCCAAAATAGCGCAGCAGCGAAGTTCCTGAACCAGCATAACGCTGGATTTCTCCTGGTACCTTCTGTCACGAACTGGGCAACGGCCCAGCTTATGTAGCGCTGGGCCAGGACTGAAAACCCACAGCCTGCGTTCTGGGCCGTGCAGATCGAAATCTGATCCACGGTCCAGATCGCAGGCTTTGAAACTGGTTCAGCCCTTGGCCTAAACGGCCTGCCTATAGGAACAAGGAAGAACGCATCTGCAGTCAAAAAATTCAGGAAGCGGAAGGGGAAATGGGTAAGCATGTGGTCTCGGACGTGTTTTGGTCTAGAGAACGGGTACGGTGGTTGCAAAAATGGGAAGAGATTCAGATTAAGAAACAGAAAGAGTGGCAAGACCGCTGCGCAGCTCAAGGGATGGCAAAGCTAGACAACATGACCAAAGAAACGTTTGCTCTGGTAAAAAGACATTCTACACAGCATCGGATCATGAAGGAGCTTGCACATCCATTCGATGCAAACTTGCGTAAAAGCTCTGAAACTCCTAGGATGTGCGAGTTTGCTGCCACTTACTTCAAAGATATCCTTACCTCTCGCAGACCACCCGAGGAGGCAGATGCAGACCTCTTGCTCCAATTACAGTTTTGGGTCAGCACGACAACACGATTACCAGTTGAAGGTAGACTTGCCCTTGACCGGCCAATTACTACTGAGGAACTTACCCACGCAGCCGGTAGAATGGCGAAAGGTAAAGCGCCCGGTGACGACGGCCTGCCGATAGAGTTTTTTCTTAGCTTTTGGGATCTGTTTGGCATTGATCTGGTCCAGATTTATAATGAGGCGCTGTTGGGAGGTGGGCTTCCCTCAAGTATGACCAAGGGGGTAATAGCACTCCTGTACAAAAAAGGGGATAAGTGCAATATTCGCAATTGGCGCCCAATCTCATTGCTTAACTCTGTTTATAAGCTCCTGGCTAAAGCTTTGGCAATTAGAGTGGCGGCATACCTACCTTCATTGGTGGGTGCGGACCAGGGCGCCTTTGTGAAAGGCAGATCCATCCTGGACAACATAGTGACGGTCATTGAATCAATGGAGATCATATCGGAAGAAGACTTGGACATGTCGATTTTGCTCTTGGACTTAGAAAAAGCCTACGACAGAGTCAGTTGGCCTTTTGTCCTGACTACCCTCAGACACATTGGTATGGGCTCCAACTTTTGTGGTTGGGTGAAAGTGCTGTATTTTCAGGCGAGGGCATCAGTAATGATAAACGGTCGTATCTCAGCATCCTTTCCCCTTACTCGTTCTTTACGGCAAGGATGCCCATTAGCTCCGCTGTTGTTTGTGCTTCAGATGGACGTATTGCTTAACAATATTAGGGTTAACCGTTATATCGTAGGTCTGAGAACTCGGTTCCAAGAGCAATTCAAAGGGAATGCTCTAGCGGACGACCTCACTGTGGTGTCCAGGAACTCTCCGGCGTCCCTAGTAGCAGTCCGAGATACCCTGGTTGAATATTGTGATCTCTGCGAGGCTCGGGTGAACTGGACTAAGTGTGTGTATTTCTTGCCAGAGCATTATGAGATTTGCGTGGACTTTGGAATGAAAAAAATTCCGGTGGACTCTGCAGAAAGATTCTTGGGGATACAGGTTTCCTTGCAGTGCTGTTTCGATCTTCAAGACCAGATTCTCCTAGCCAGGGTGGAACAAAGAATTTTGAAATGGAAATCATCTCATGGCCTTTCTCTGTTCGGCAGAGCACTTCTCGTCAATGCTTCAGTCTTTTCGCAATTATGGTACTCAGGTTCTGTCACACCTATCCAGAAGAAGACTGCACAAGATATCAAGTCAGTCGGCCAGGTACATTTGGAAACCGGATGCAGAAGACGGCCAAGGCCATATGTCCAAGCTGGCCTGGGACAAAGTTACCGCTGTTAAGGATGAAGGGGGACTGGCAGTTTTGGATCCGGTGCGCCAAAACAAGGCCTTGCTATGTAAGTGGCCAGTAAGGGCCATTGTTGACACAGAAGCGCGCAGCTGGGTGGCATTGGCAGAGTACATATTGTCTAAGGAATGGGGCTTGAGCAGAAGCGAAGATGTTTGGTTGCTGATAACAACCTTGGCTTACCAGCATCGTCGTCCCAAGTCAGCCTTTTGGAGAGGGGTGCTGCAAGCATGGCATACGCTTTCACCACAGCCCCTTCGTCCCCCGCAGTCAAGGGACGAAGTGCTCCGCCAACCCCTGTTTGAGAATGAGTGGATTCAAAATCACGAAGGCATTGTCTTCGCTTTGGCCGGAAGAGGCAGTTTTGGGAGATCCTGGGCGGAAAGAGGGGTCTTAAGGATTGAAGACATGTGGGACAAGTTGCGTGGTACATGGAAGAGTGAGGATGAATTGAGGTCAAAGCTGGGCAGATTATGGTACGTAGAGGAAAGAAGAGCAGCCCTGATTCAGGCTATTCCCGATAGGTGGAAGCATCTGTTGAAGGAGGAGGTGGTGGTAGGAAGTTGGTACAGACCAGCATTAACCCTGGGAGGGGAACTACAGTTTTTCAGGGTCAGGGATGGGGATAGTCTGGAAGTATGGGAGAGGTCAAAGGAGGTTGGCTCCAGCAGCAGTGCGTTAACTTTTAAGGATGAACGGCCTCTCACTAGCCTAGGTTTCCTAGAAGAAGTTAGGGTGCACATGCAATTCTCAGCGGCGGGGCCGCCTCAACCAGTCCTCTGCATGGAAGGAACCCCAATCAGGAGAATGAGGTTGGACATTGGTCTGTACGGTTGGTCTACGGTAAGGGGAAGGCCGACTGTGAATCAATATTCTTCCAAACTCGGTATGGCATTGCAACGGCTTTCCGGAAGCTCCTCTACCAAGATTGCAGAAGCAATTCCGGTTTCCTCTACAGGCTCAGCTCTGACTGTTGACTACTCTAGGGACATGTGGAAGGTGTGTCGAAGGCTGCCCAACAGTAAAGCAGCTTCAATTGTTTGGCTGATTACCCACGCTGCACCCCTTGATGCTGTATCACTTTTTGGCAGAGGAATGGAGGTAGAAGTAATCTGTTCGAGATGCCACCGGCACCCTGAGGACGCTGTCCACCTATGGGGCACTTGCCCACTCTCCTTCCGTATCTGGAGGTGGTGGGCTTACCACTGGAAGAAGATAGGAGGACCAGAGGAGGTGGAATGGAACCTTGAATGGGCAGTAACAGGCCAACTTAAACACCCTCTGACAAGTGAGAAGGGCTGGGGTTATGTGGCTACTGCAATCCGTTCGCTGGTTATTTGGTGGATTTGGAAAGAAAGAAATTCGGTCCTGTTTCAGAGGAAGTACTACTCTGATCCGGCGTTGAAGAGCGGGATGAAGACAATGCTCAGACGTATGATCATGATAGATTGGCGGAATAAGGTGCAGTCGAAAACTGGACCGAGCTGGTGTAAGGCAAGGCTGTGGTTTCTTCGCTCATGGGCGAAAAAGAACAGACTGGTTGCTGTCTCAGCCGTAACAGGGAGACTTGTCTGGTCGGCCTGGCTAGGATCTGATTTGACTGTTACGTAAAATTAGGAACTGTTGTTAATCTTAGTAAGTGGTTAACTTTTTCTCATCATCTGGGTAAAAGGGGTTTTAGTGGTTTCCGGGGAAGGGGTGGTCTTTAGGGTTGCAAGGCAGAACCTACCTGTCATTCGGTGGTTCCTTAAAGCCTTGACGGGGTTGTATTAGGTATCAGGCCCGCAATAGGGTCATAGGCCGTTTGCTTTGCTTGCGTGAATGTTGGTAGAGGTAGCTGTTCTCATTCATTTTGCCAGGTTGGTCTGGTAGAACGTGATGTGTTTTTTGTCTCTACCCAGGTTGGGCTGGGGGAGAATAACTCTTTGCATCCGGGTCAAATTGTGGGGTCCCCGGCCTCTTAATTGTTTATTTCTTAATCCAGATGACGTTTTAACAAAAAAAAAAAAAAAAAAAAAAAAAAAAAAA